AGTAGGTTTTAATTTAAAAAAAAAAAGAACAAGAAAGAAGAAACATTTCTTTTCCATTCAACTGGCTGCCAATGAGTAAGTTTACAGGAGTAATTCAGTCCGGAAAAGGCGTAAGGTTGCATGCTGCGTTGAATCATTTCTTGCCCAATGAGGCTCTTCAAAACAAACGTGTATTTGTACCACAAGTGTGGAAGTGGCTGGAATATTCTCCCTGGAAACTGCTGATCTGCTAGACAAATCTGCCAGCCCCTCTCCTCATGACACCAACCTTCACAAAAGGCCAGGCAGCAAGAAAGGGATCAAGACAGGTGTTTTGCAGGACAGCCCTTTTAGTGACTCAGTAGCCCCACATCAACTTGCAAGTGGCACAATTTAACAATCAACTGATTTTGCGCCACTGATTTCTGCCCCACTGATGAGCTTGCTGCCACCGCCGCCTGAATTAGTTCCCTGGGGCACCTGGATTTGACTTCACTGATTAATTTGCTGCTGCCGCCGCCTGGATTTGACGGTTCAGTCAGTGTGTGCTGAAATGCTCTGCAGAAGGGCTGGGTGCAACGACCTTTCAAGGCTGAGAAGACTACCAGCTTGACTTGCAATCCATCCCAAGAGGAGGTTTTCTTCCATGCAGCATTACCCCAAACTGCAAAGTTGGCTCCGAAGGGACATGTGAAACAGCCAGAACCAAAGACTGCTTCTCCAGCAAGAGGCCTGCTCTCCTTGGAAGCCAGCAGCAACCAGAGTCCTCTTCAAAGAGGCCCTTGGGATCCGGCACACTTCAAGGGCATACAGCTTCCCAGACCAATTTCACTGCAAACCTTGACCGCCCTGCCCACCTAAGTCCCAAGGCTGGCGAAGAGTGCTTCAATAAAACGAGGGGAGCCGGCCTACGGGGCGGATGCCAGGCCAGCGCTGCCCTCTTGCTACTAGCAAGTCTGGTGAAGGCACAGCCCATTTCACAGTTTGCAAGACGCCTGAGCCACTTTTGAGTTGGTCCTCCTGTTCAATGCTTTGCAGATGAAGGAGCCGGCTTCAAGGAGCTTTGACAGGTCCACGCCCTTCGAAGGAAAGGGGGTGGGGAGAGGAGAGAGAAACATAACTGATTTTGCATGTGAACCTGAATTCTGAACACAGGAACCCACATGCAATGGACCCCTTCAGACAGCCAGTTATTGCAAACCGTGACAGTGAACACACAGACTGTGATACTCAACACGGGGCCCAGCAATGCGTTTCCCAGCAACCACTTGCTTCCTTTTCAAAGCAAAGAGCTGCTTTTGACTCTCCTATGCTTCAGCTGAACAAGAGATACTTCAGAAAAGTCTAAGAGGCTTTGTGTCTGTCAGGAACTCCTACTTGGAAATAGATCCCTAATAGGAAGGCACTGGGCTTGCAACCTTCCCAACTCTGGGATTGGGCCTGCCTGCCACAGCCACCCTTTTTGTGGTGATCTCACTCTCAAAATTCCCAAAGGGTCCACGGCCTCCACAAGACTGGGGGCCCCTGCGTTAGGGAATAAAGCTATGCTTGCATGTTTGAGCTGGTAATTCCAGCCACTTCAGCTATTGCCAACAAACCAACAAGGGGAGGGCTGACAGTAAGACGAGGCTAAGGGTCCACGGCCTCCACAAGACTGGGGGCCCCTGCGTTAGGGAATAAAGCTATGCTTGCATGTTTGAGCTGGTAATTCCAGCCACTTCAGCTATTGCCAACAAACCAACAAGGGGAGGGCTGACAGTAAGACGAGGCTTAAGTGTCCACGGTTGTCTCAGTTCTGAGAATTACTAAAATTGCTTCTAACAATCAGCAGCACCTTCTATTAACTAGGAAGCTTTCACACTTCTCCGTGTTTCAGAAAGGCAAATATAGGGAGGCAATGTTAACTGGTTAAATTGAATATCCTGCCTCTTTCCAACAGACACAACTGCCAACTTTTAAACCGGTCCCCCTTGCTGTCACTTCAGTATCAGTTTGATCTGCATCAGGTGATGTTTCTGACAGACCTCCAAGCCACAAGAAGGTTCAAGTGCCCATTTCCACACATTAAGAGGCTATTCAAGCCTGTCCAGGCCAGCTGGCAGTCCTACCAAGACAAAACCTCAAAATGAGGGACCTTAGGGGCAGGGGAGAGAAATGACCGGCATCTATTACTTGGCAGTTTACCTGGTTCATCTTATTTATAATTTATACACCATCAGTCAAAACAGAACTATGTCAGTGTGTCGTTCCCCCACCCCCGCCGCCCCGGGTATTTTTGTATTTGTGTATGTGTGCCCGTGTCTGGAAGTCATGGTGACCTCTGGCAACTCCTACTGGGGCATGGAGGACTCAGGGGCGGGGGGGAGGAGTGGCTATCTCCATTCGTCCATGCCGAGAATACGGCCTCCAGCCGGGCTACGGACCTGGTATTGACCATGGCGTCACTGGGACTCTCTCAACTTGTTTCGGCTCCCACGTATCAGGCCAGTCACATGCTCGACTTGATGTTCGCGGCGGGGGTGAAGGTGGAACTATCGGCCAGTGTCTAATTTGCCCTATTTGGGCAAACTCATTGAGAGGGCGGTGGCGTTACAGCTACAGAGCTTTCTGGAGGATGCTTCCGTCCTCGATCCCTACCAGTCCGGCTTTCGCCCGGATCATAGGACAGAGACGGTGTTGGTCACCTTGACTGACGATCTCCGTAGGCATCTGGATCGGGGTGGTGTGGCAGCACTGGTGTTGTTAGATCTGCCCGCCGCGTTCGACATGGTCGACCACCAGCTGCTGGCCCACCGCCTCGCCGACACGGGGATTCAGGGGCTTGCCCTTCAATGGTTTGCCTCTTTTCTCTAAGGTTGGGGACAAAGGGTGGCAATAGGGGACCAGCAGTCCCAGAGACATCCCCTGGAGTGTGGGGTGCCTCAGGGGGCTGTGCTGTCCTCAATGTTGTTTAACATCTACATGCGTCCCCTTGCCCAGATTGCCCGGAGTTGTGGGCTTGGGTGCCATCAATATGCAGATGACACCCAGCTCTATCTGATGCTAGGCGGCCGGTTGGACTCTGCCCCGGATGACCTGTATCGGGCGTTACAGGCTGTGGCTGGGTGGCTCAGACTGAGCCGATTGAAACTAAACCCGGCAAAGACAGAGGTCCTGGGCCTGAGTCGGATCGGTTCAGGGTTGGGGCTCCCTCTCCCGACCTTTGATGGGGTGCCTTAGGTACCAGCGTCAGAGGTTAGGAGTTTGGGTGTGCGCCTGGACTCCTCTTTAACGATGGAGGCCCAGGTGGCAGCCACTGCCAGGGCAGCCTTTTATCATCTTCGGCTGGCTCGGCAGTTGGTCCCCTACCTTAGCCGTGAGGACATGGCCATGGTGATCCATGCGACGGTTACCTCAAGGCTAGACTACTGTAACGCTCTCTACATGGGGCTGCCTTTGTCGCAGATCTGGAAGCTGCAGCTAGTGCAGAATGCTGCAGCCAGGTTGTTGATGGGTCTCTCGAGGAGGGACCACATTCAGCCTGTGCTGAAAGCGCTGCACTGGCTGCCAATAGTGTACCGGATTCATTTCAAAGTGCTGGTTCTTACCTTTAAAGCCCTTTATGGCCAGGGTCCAGCCTACCTGAGGAACCGCCTTTCTCCATATGTTCCCACAAGGGCACTATGATCAGGGGGTTGTCATCTCCTGGAAATTCCAGGCCCCAAGGATATTAAATTTGCGATGACCAGAGCCAGGGCATTTTCGGTGGCGGCTCCTACCTGGTGGAAGGAGCTCCCAGAGGAGATCTGGGCCCTGTGGGATCTTTCTCAGTTCCTCAGGGCCTGCAAGATGGAGCTCTTCCACCAGGCTTTCGAGTAGGAGCCGCCGCCACTATTACTCCATCATATTATTATTATTATTGCCATCTATGCACCAAAGGGGCACTATCTGGCCCCTTTGGGGGTGCGAGGTGCCCCTGGCAGGAAAAGGATGATAGATTTCGGGAAAGTTACCGTTGGGTTTAAGATCTACCCCATCTTGTGACAAACGGAGCACTGTGATTTTGTTACTGTAATACCATCAGTCAAAACAGAACTATGTCAATGTGTTGTCGTCGTCGTCCCCGCCCCGGGTATTTTTGTATTTCTGTATGTGTGCCCGTGTCTGGAAGTCATGCTGAGCCTTCGGGGTAGGGCGGGATACAAATCTAAAGATAAATAAAATTTTAAAAAAATTCAGAGAAGTGGCGCGATAGCCTGCCTCTGCCTCCCGACCCTGGTATTCTTTGGGGGTCTCCCATCCAAATACTTGCCAGGGGCGGGCCCTGCTTAGCTCCCGAAATCAGGCTTGCCTGGGGTATCCAAGTCAGGGCTCAAAACAGAACTATGAATCCAAGTATCTTCTATACCTAATGGTGGCATCCCAGTTGTAACATATTCTTCCCTAGCGATATTCCAGTTGGCACATACTTTGACTCTTTGTGGTGCCAGGTGAAGATGACTTTATTCTCCCAATCTTTCAATAAATGACGTGTATGTTTTCATCATTCCCCCCCCCATGCTTTTATTGCTATGTTTTTAAATGCTGTTTTTGCTGTTTTAGTGATTATTAATTTGAAGGTTTTTGATTTTTCTGAGTTTTTGTTAACTGACTTGGGAGCTTTTCTGAGAGGCACGACAGAAAGCATTAATTCAAAAGATACAAGTCCTGCATGTGCCACAGACTCCCAGAAGAGGTCATGGGGAGGCATCTATCTTCCAGGCTTTATGACAAGGCTGTAAAAGTGTTATTCTTGAGAACTTTTAGGGCAGTTCTGTGTCTCCTCAGCAAAAGGGAATGTTTTCCTGGCTATAAACAGGGTGTTTTAGAGACTGGTTATTTTAATGCATTGTTTAAAGTTTTTAAAAGTTTGAATACAGTTTTAATGTACTGTGCATTGTGCTGTTGTTATCCACCTTGGGTCCTGAGCTGTCAGGAGAAAGGCAGGCATATGCATATTTTAAATACAAGTAATTGAAGTACAAGCAGGAGAGGCTAAAGCTGCAAGCCTTCAGCATCCAAAATACTGACAGAGCAAACACTCCTTAACACTGCCTCTAAAACAAAGCACATATTCAGCCCCAGCAGAAAGCACTCACTTCCCATGACAGCTCAACACGAGCAGAAATTAAAACAGCAGACTTACTGTATGGATGCCCAGGCCGTGAAGCATGTACACCATGTCTTCAGTGGCCACATTCCCGGATGCTCCTTGTGCATAGGGGCAGCCCCCAAGTCCGGCCACTGAGGAATCAACCACGCTCACACCCATCTGCAAAAGAAACAACACCTCTCCAGGAGCTGCCTGCCAAGTGTCTCTCCAAGAACTTACAGTGGTGTAGGTTAAGCAACTCAAACTGAGGATGTGGACCCAGGAAAATGTGCCTCCTCCCACTGCTTTTGACCTCAAAACCTTGTTTATTTTGAGTATCAGAAGTTGCCATGAATGTAAGACACAATTCTGAAGGATAAAGTTATGGCAGACAGGGCACAAACACTCCTTCTGGAAGAGTTTTGTGGATGGATCCCACTTTGTATACAGGTCTGATGGCAGACATTGTGTGTGGGAGGGGTTAATTCCCCACACCCATGTTAGAATGGCCAACAACACACTTTCTTTGGGTCACTTCCTTTATGCAGCTTGGGTGCATTACCTGAGCCATCTATTTTTTAGCTAATGATGCCTTCATCTGTGGAGCCCTAAACACTGGGGAGAAACTCACCTGGAGCGCCACCAGTGTGTTGGCAAGGGCCTGTCCGTAGGTATCATGGCAATGTACTCCAAGAGCCCCAATGGGCACCTCTTTCATGACCGCAGAAAGCATCTCTTTCATGTTACCAGGTGTCCCAACTCCAATGGTGTCACCCAGGGAAATCTCATAGCACCCCATGGCATACATTTTCTTTGCTACCTGCAACACAGAACAGAAGCGTTACAGGAGGGGCATCTCACTTTCAGGATCCCATTCCCTCAAAGAGATCTCAGACAAAAGGAGACCTCTTTGTTACCTTCTCCATAGTTATCTCCTGCTGTTAAGCTGCAAGACCCCCCCCCGACCCCCCCCATTTTATCTACTACTGCTGCAGCTGGAACCAGAATCCATTCACTTGGTAAAGCACTGCTCTAAATGGTGCTAATCTGAATGGGAAACAGGCTTTTAAAATCTCCTTCTCCTCACACAGCACCAGGACCCTGTTTCGTCCCAATCAGACCTACTTATACCACAGCACTCCCTAATGCCAGACAGTAAAACACTGCTTCTCTGTTAAGCCAACAAAGGGTATTCACTGCCACAGGAAGTGGTGGCGGCTACAAGCACTGACGGCTTCAAAAGGGAATTAGATAGGCATATGGAGCAGAGGTTCATCAGTGGCTATTAGCCACAAGGTATAGATAGGGGCTCGGGGGCAAGTGATGCTCTGTCTTCTTGGTGCTTGGGGGGGGGGGTCAACAGTGGGAGGGCTTCTAATGTCCTGGCCCCACTGGTGGACCTCCTGATGGCACCTGGTATTTCTGGCCACTGTGTGACACAGAGTATTGGACTGGATGGGCCTTTGGCCTGATCCAACATTGGCTTCTCTTATGTTCTTATGGTATTTTGATACAACACTGAGGGTCCCATGATGCAACAAAGAAGAAGAGGCCCATGGCAACCCTTCTACTCAGCACAGAGCTCCAAAATCAGCTTATACTATGGTCCGAACATTAAGCCATGCATTTGTCCATTCCGCATGCCATGTCATGTCACTGGGCTGCACGAAACGTACACCCTCCTGCTCTGATCAGAGCTACCAAGGCAGATAACACATTCAAAATGTACATCATCAAACATATCTTAAAAAGCACTGAAACCAACAAAAGGCACCTCATTAAAAACCAGAGGTAAAATACACAACCAGAAATATAAATACAACAATTCAAACATTGGGCAGAAAGGATGGATCACGGAGGAACGCCAAACAAAATTAGAAGTCTCCACCTGCTGGTAGAAAATGGGAACAGAAAGGGGCATTCAAGTCTCTCTGGGGAGAGTGTTTTGGTGCCACAACTGAGAAGGCCCCCGCCCCCCAGGTTGCCACCTGCCTAATCTCAAAAGGCTGGGCACCTGAAGCAGGGCCTCCAAAGATGACTACAGCAATCAGGTAGGTAAGGGAATACCAGCAATCAGGTAGGGTAAGGGAATACTAGATGTGGGGCAAGCTGATATAAGATAGGGTGGGATTTCATAAAGGGCAGTGTAACCATGTGTGCTTGTAATTGCATACAGGCTTTTAAAATCTCCTTCTCCTCACACAGCACCAGGACCCTGTTTCGTCCCAATCAGACCTACTTATACCACAGCACTCCCTAATGCCAGACAGTAAAAGACTGCTTCCCTGTTAAGTCAACAAAGGGTATTTTGATACAAGACTAAGGGCGCCATGAGGCAACAAAGAAGAGGCCTGTGGCAACCCTTCTACCCAGCACATCCAGACAGAGCTCCAAAATCAGCTTATTGTCAGCTGTAGCTGCCATGAGTATGGTGTATGTTTCTAATTGCTTTGCATTCCTTCCCATGCACTTAATGGCATCTAAGCTGTAACGTGTATCTCTCAAGGTCACAGGAGGAGTTGGTATGTCTACCTTTCCTGGGAAGCTCTTGACTTCCCCTACTTTGCAGCCATTAGAAAATCCGCCAAATGCCCACATGCGGGAGCCCGTCTAATTGGGTAATACGTGTGTGTGCGCGCGCGCATACAAATGCCCTATATCCTATTATGCGCATAGGTAACCCGCCATTCCTAACAGTGTTCATGTTACTGCATCTATAGCTTTTCAATAAAAGTAAAACCTTCCTAGAAGCGTGTACTTCGTTGTCTTGCTGTGGATCCTGACACTTATACTATGTCCCAACATTAAGCCATGCATTTGTCCATTCCGCATGCCATGTCAGGTCATTGGGCTGCGCGAAACATACACCCTGCCCTTCTGCTCTGATCAGAGCTACCAAGGCAGATAACACATTAAAAATGTACATAATTAAACATATTCTTTTTTTAAAAATTATTTTATTTCCCTCTCCTAAAAAGGAGAGAAATTCTACTTTTATAATTTAGAATAATTAAACATATTCTTAAAAAGCACTGAAACCAACAAAAGGCACCTCGTTAAAACCAGAGGTAAAATACACAACCAGAAATATAAATACAACAATTAAAACATTGGGCAGAAAGGATGGATCACGGAGGAACGCCAAACAAAATTAGAAGTCTCCACCTGCTGGTAGAAAATGGGAACAGAAAGGTGGATACAAGTCTCTCTGGGGAGAGAGTTTTGGTGCCACAACTGAGAAGCCCCCACTGCCCCCCAGGTTGCCACCTGCCTAATCTCAAAAGGCTGGGGCACCTGAAGCAGGGCCTCCAAAGATGACTACAGCAATCAGGTAGGTAAGGGAATCAGGCAGGTAAGGGAATACCAGCAATCAGGCAGGTAAGGGAATACCAGATGTGGGGCAAAGCTGATATAAAGATAGGGTGGGATTTCATAAAGGGCAGCCTGGGACTCACCGCAACACACATTTCTGCTAACACAACTTGCTTTTCTCACAGAAGTCACAAAAGCATAAATCTGGCTTGTCAACAAAACCCAAAACCAATACAAATGTGAGCAGGCGAGAGGGACAGAGAATGCCAGGAAGTGTTCCCCTCATCTTCCCCAATCCCTCCAATGTTTATGCTGGGTGTATCCAAGACACCACAAAACGTCCATGGCAAAGGATGGCAAGCACTCACTTCTGCTACTTTCGTGGGAGCAATCTTTCCTTCATAAGGACAGCCAAGGACGCAGGAGACGTATCTGCAAGCAGGGAAAGAAAGCTCGCGTTATTATATCCCGCTGCCACTAGCTTCCCACATTCCGGAAACTCTGGCCCCGCCCCTTTCTGCAAAAAAAGAAAGAAACGGGCATGGGGAGTTTCAGCAAAAGCTGCCCCAGAGAAACCTAGATAGTTAAACCCACGCACAGTACCGATAACCCCAAACAGTTGCCCCTGGAAGATGAAAACAGGCAAGGCCATGCTTTTTGAGAGAGCCCCCCCTCCCACCCTGTCCTGCCAAGACACCCAGCCATACAGGCGGCCTCTCCTTCTGGCTGGTCCCTATTGGGAAGAGAAGACCAGAGGCAAAGGACCTTGGCTCTGCTCTATCCAGGCCGTTCCCCTTCCTGGCACCCTCACTTTTCCACCCTCATGGCTTGAAAGGAGTAAGAGAGACTTTGTGAAGCTGCAGGGCGGGCTGGCCATTACAGCCGGTGGGGAAAGTACCGGAGGGCTGATAGCCTGAGAAGCCACCTCTCCTGTGCCAGCCCTACTTGGTCAAGACACCCAGCCATACAGGCGGCCTCTCCTTCTGGCTGGTCCCTATTGGGAAGAGAAGACCAGAGGCAAAGGACCTTGGCTCTGCTCTATCCAGGCCGTTCTTACTGAGAAAGAGGCAGCCCTTCCCCTTCCTGGCACCCTCACTTTTTCACCCTCATGGCTTGAAAGGAGTAAGAGACACTTTGTGAAGCTGCAGGGCGGACTGGCCATTACAGCCGGAGGGGAAAGTACCAGAGGGCTGATAGCCTGAGAAACCACCTCTCCTGTGCCAGCCCTACTTGGTCAGGAGACTGGGCCAGCAAGCACAAGTGCCACACAAATTCACCTGGCAGGGGGACATGGGGCTCCTTTCTGGACCGTTTTGTCTTCCCAGCCTGCCCGTGAAGCTGCCTTCTATGGAGTCAGTCTATCAACAACTGCCTTCTCTACTCTGATAGGCAGCATCTCTCCAGGGTCTCAGGGCAAAGGTCTTCCCCATCACCTCCCACCTGATCCTTTTAACAGGAGAGGCCACGGATTGAACTTGGGACGTTCAGAAGACAAAGCACCCTGTCACTCAGCCAAACACCCCCTAAACAGGCAGTCATGCTGGGCCCTTTCCCGTTCCACCTCCCCCGCCCCACACAAGCTGCCCTTCTGGTGTCGACATCCCAGCAGGTTAACAAACAGAGATGCCCTTTTGTCCTCGAAGCTGGCATCCAGACCTCTCTCACCCTCGGACTGGGATGCTGTCTTCTTTCGCTGCACGCAGCACGTCACTAAATCTCTGCAGGCTTTCGTCGATGGAGCAGTTGATGTTCTTCTTTGTGAAGAGCTCTGAGGCTGCTCCAAATATGGACACCTCTTTGGCTCCCGCTGCCACCTGCCCACACATAAGGGGGGGGGGGAGGAGAGAAATCAACATACAGAAGAGCTCAACAACAAACCAAACCTGCCTCTAGGAACTACCTTCCCCTGGCTCCAGAGACTAAATTGAAACCCAAAACTGGGCACCTGCCAGAAAATCTGGCAAGTTCTTTGCACCTGTGCTGGCTCTTGGAATGAGGTCTGATTGTGCCTCTTAAACTGAATTTTCATGTGATATTTTACATTTTTTGTGTCACGGTCTATAAAGTATTCTGAGCATACAGTTCAGACAGTGGGAGAACCAGGTAAGATTCCCTTCTGTGGTAAGACAGCATCAGGAACCTCAAGATCAGGTCCCAAATTTTCAGAACACAATGGACTACGAAGTGAAATTGTGTGCGTGCTTTTTAAAGCAAGCACAGCCCTGGCGTTTCGCCCCTCTAGTCATGTTGGGCGGACTGCATCTAATCATATAGTGGAACTCAAAGATTACAGAGGTTTTTAAAGGTAAAGGTAAAGGTCCCCTTGCTCGAAAGCCAGTCGAGTCCGACTCTAGGGTTGCGGTGCTCATCTCCGTTTCAAAGCCGAAGAGCCAGCGCTGTCCGAAGACGTTTCCGTGGTCATGTGGCCGACATGACTAAACACCAAGGTGCACGGAACGCTGTTACCTTCCCACCGAAGTGGTACCTATTTATCTACTTGCAATTTCTTGCTTTCGAACAAAAATTTAACACCATTAATTTATTTAGATCATTGTACCTCGCTTATCTTTCCCCTTCCATTTTATGGTGATAACACCCACCCAGTGGGATCAGTAACAAGCAGCAGAGCACGAATTCACTTACTGAACTTTTTCAGAACATGGTATGTTTGGTGTACCACCACCCCTTCTTCAAAAGCTCAGGGTTCTCACACAGCACACACACCCCTCCGCCCGCCCAGATTTAGAGCTGCAGCTGCATCCTGACCAGGTGCTGGGACACTCCATTACTTTTAGTGGAAGAAGACAATAGGCCTGTTCTCAAGTTTACAGTGAACAGACATATATTCTGCCTGCACATGTACATGTTTGTAAGAAAGAGCCAACATACAACAAGTACCGTGCACAGATGATTATAACATATCATAAATAATTTTATATTTTTTGAAAAATATTTTTACAATAATTTCTACATATATAATAAATCATCTTAATCAAAAATATCAAAAATCATCTCCAAGAATCTCAAAAGCTATTGTACAACCTTTAATAATAGTCCTCCTCTGTTAAATAAAAGTTTCAAAAGGGAGGACTCCTTAAAGTCTCTTTATAACATGTGCTTGTGAACAGGGCTGCTATGAACTGCACAGCCGTGAAGACTTGAAACTGCTTTGTCTGCTGAAATAAATGACCAGCCTTTGCAAACAGAGGAGCTCCGCACATAAAACAGAGCTCTATAGCCACAAAGGAATAGGATGTGTAACCACAGCCACAGATATGCATTTCCCATTTCAGGATCTCCAATCCTTGAAGCCTCTGCCTTGCAGGCTACCCTTACCGCTGCTTGAAAGCCTTTGAGATTGGGGGTCAGAACAGGGTAGTTGATGCCTGAAACCTTGCGAATCCCTTGCATGACTTCAGCGTGGTCCGCCATCTACACAGGAATACAAAGTGTACTTTAAAAAAAGAAGTGTGTTGAACCTGCTGCAAAGGCACATTAAAGAATTCTTAGGTCCCAACACAGACACAAAACAAGCCACCCTCAACGCTTTGAACCTCCTCAAATGACCTTAAGACATTCCAGAGTATTCTGTTGCCTGAAGTTACCATTTCGCTGCCAACTGCTTAACCTTCGCACAGTTTCCGATTCCATGCCTGGAAAGTATGAGAGAACCGCTTGTGAAAAGCCCAGCTCTCCATCACAGCCAAGGAGACCACAGAAACAAGTGCTTCCAGTCCTTGCCACGCACCAGGGACAAATGCTTCCAGTCCTTGTGAGCACACAATGCCCAGCAGCACATTGACCCGCTCCCAGAGCTCTCATTTGCGCTAGTGAGAACAGCAGCCCTGTTTCTAGTCCTCATGTTGGCAGAGCTATGCAGAGCTTGCATGAGCAATACCTGCTGAGGACTCAGGAAATGCCTGCTTTAGTGGATGGGGGATGTATTTTCAATGCTCTTTCCGTAACTAGCAAAGCTCAAACAAAATTACACAAGACGGCTAAAAATGCAGGAGAGAAAATGAATCTGCTCCAATTGCATGATGAGTGCAGAATCAGGACTATCTGGTTGCAGAATTTCAATTCCTTCGGGGCCAAAGCTGCAGAGCCCAGTCCATAGCAAAATATGTGAACAGCCCACTGTTGTTTCAACTACAATCATAAATCCAGTAGTTAAGGGTACAATTGTGAAGGTTCGGCAGGGAAATGAAAAACACTGAAAAAAATACAGCCCCCCCCCACCCCCACACACACCCCTTTTCTCAATTTCTCAAACTGGAAATGGGATGAAAGAAGGAGGGGAAACAGGTGGACAAGCCCCCCCCCTTCCAGTTTTCACATCTCTAGTTCAGGGTATAAAGTGATTTCATAATTGATGCACAAAACAACTCTGTGAAGGAAATTAGGCAGACCAGCAAAGGTTCAAGCCTCTGTCCTCCCATGTACAAGCCCATGCTGTGTGCCCTGTGCCACTATCCGACTTGTACACTAGCAGGTCTTCAAGGAGAAAAACTTATTACCACTACTAACCTGAGGGACCCATTTAGGAGACACAAAACTGGTAGCTTCTATGACTGAAAGACCAGTTTCTGACAGCATATCAATGAAGTCTATTTTCACTTGAGTGGGGACAAGGTTCTACAAAGGAAAAAGAAAAAGAGATAAAACAGTCTTCGCTCCAAAAAAGTCCTTAACATTATTTCCCCCTCCTTTTAATCTCAAACTGGAACACAAATACAGGTGTGTTTCATTCAGGACAAAGCTTTCCCATACGCTTTCAGTAAGGCCCATATCCGGATGCATAAAAGCCACAATGAGGGACAAGCTCGAGCGTGTCCAGAAGAGGGCAACCAGGATGGGGAGAGGGATGGAATCCAAGTCTTATGAGGAAAGGCTGAAAGAATTGGGTATGTTTAGCCTGGGAAAGAGAAGGCTTAGAAGGGACATGATTGCAGTCTTCAAGTATTTGAAGGGCTGTCATGTAGAAGATGGAGCAGATTTTTTCTCTCTTGCTCCGGATTGCAAGACTAGATCTAATGGGTGGAAATTACAAGGGAGTCGTTACCAGCTAAATATCAGGAGAAAGTTCCTAACTGTAAGAGTAGTTGAGCAGTGGAACAGTCTGCCTTGGGAGGTGGTGGATGCTCCTTCGCTGGACGTTTTCAAGTGGAGGCTGGACGACCAACTTTCGGGTATGTTGTAGGTATGTAGGGCTGTCTTTCGGCTATGCTCCTGCAGAGTGCAGGGGGTTGGACTAGATGACCTGCAAGGTCCCTTCCAACTCTAACATTCTATGATTCTATGAAATATGGACAGACCTAAAAATTAAGCAACACATTTATTTCCATGCAGTCTAAGTGAGGGTACGTGACACATGGACAGAACCTTGGTGCTGTTACATATGGCCTATAGTTTCTTGGAATCCTAAGATTATAGCATTAATTTTCTAAAAAGGGACTTTCTAGTCCTCACTGCAGAAGTTTCAAAAACTGAAAGCAGAAAGCATTTACTAAGAAGCCAAATTTATTAATGCATCAGGCTTCACACAATTTGCAGATAAACAAGATGATGTGATTTTCCCTATATTTGGAGGTAATCTAATTCTGACCATGGCCCTGTCATGTGCATAAGAAAAAATCCGGGGGGAGGGGATAGGTGGAATTTTCCCACAAACCTGAGGGAACACTTGGATTTGCAACAACAACAAAAAACAAAGCCCCAAACAATGCAATAACTTGATTCAGTAACCCACCTTTTGAGCTTGCACAGATGAACAGTTAGTAAAGTATGGATTTCAATCCAAGTGGAAATACAAAATGATAACCTACAAATCCTGAGAAAAGCAGGAAGCTATAGCACCAGTAGCAGACAGGAAAGTGGGCCGCATGGATGGGAGGGGAAAAGTGAAGGTATTACGCTTGAGTAGCAAATAGGGTGAACAAATTTACTGGTGAGACAGACTGGCATATCAGAGATGAGAGGAGGAATAGGTGGGAAGCATTTTTTATTTGTTTTTTAAGACTGGTCATTGTAACTCTTTTACCTTTAATTCTTAATGCTGCTATTGTAACCAGTTCTCTATCCAATATTATGTATCTTGTACATCATTAACATAGACGGAAGACCTGCTTTAATTGTTTTTCCATCTCTAGGAGTTTGCCCCTCTGGCCAAGTGCCTAGTCAGCAAAAGATTCCCTCTGTTGCAACCTACCGGTGCTCAACTGACTTTAGAACAGGCAAACACAGCAGAGTCAATATTACACAAATGTTCCTCGACCACTCTCGGGTTAACGCAGAGCAGAGACTCCAAAGACGTCAGCACTCACCTTTACCCAACTGAGCAGCCCCGACTGGTTGAACTAGGACGCCATCTCATACTATCTTTTTCTACTGTCTGCTTTGAGCAGTAGCAACCCTCAGGGTCTCAAGCAGAGAAAGGGCTTTCTCAGCACCTGCTACCAAGCACGCTTTAACGAGATGCCAGGGGCTGAACCTGGGACGTTCCACATGCAAAGCAGCAGCTCCATCACTGATCCACTGACCCTGAATGCAATAAACGTTACAGCTCCACCACAGGCTCTCAAAGCACCTTCACCTAGTTCTTTTGCATCCACTCATGGTGGCACTGAGGCCATTCTCTTGGCAGTGCTGGCCCCGTCCCTTCCACATTTTACAGATGCATAATCAAGGTTATTTAGTAAGTCCATATAATACAGGGCACATTCAACCTGGGATCCTACAGCCATTACACACGCTATTGCCCACAGGTCACATGCGTGACAGATTCAATATATCAAAAGTCACAAAACGCTCACACATGTCAAGAAAGAGATCTGGTTTCTGCAGTCACCCATGTTCACATCAGAAGAGGCAGCTGACACCCATTTCACAGATAGCCTAAAATGAAAACTATTTTACCAAAAGGCTGAAATGGGGAGTTGAACACGTGTGAACATAGCTTGCCCAAGGGTGTCTGTCCGGGGACTCCACAGCCAAGCTGAGATTTTACCCAAGGTTCTACATGAGCCATTGGCCTACCCTAGCATACTCCTGTTAACCAGTGTGTTTGGTTTGCATAGGAAATGGAATTCAGGATGCAAGGTGAAGGTGGAATGGCTGAACTTCAACAACTGTTCTAGCTGGGAGGAAAATCTTAGGATTGATGTTGTTGTGACAGATGGCTTGAAAACCAGCAGGTTCAAGAATAAGAAAACAGCAAAAGAACTGCAGGTGCAAGCCATGCTCTGCTTGACTGCCACAAGCATAGATGGTTTTTAAAGGGGGATTAGACAGGTTCATGTAGAAGGGCCATTAATGGCTGCTAGCCATGATGATACACACTCAGAAGCAGTACACCAGTGCTGAAAGGCAGCAACAGGGGAAGGCTTTTGCTTCTCTTTGTTGACACTCAGGAGATCTGTGTGAAACCAGATTCTGTATTGGACAAACCACTGGTGTCTGATCCAGCAGGGCATCTCTGATGTTGTTAATTACCTTTTCATTCTGCAGGCCATCCCTTGGACCAACCTCAACTATTTTAACGTGCTTGGGAAGCGTACCAGCTGTTGAGCTGAGCTGTAAGAAAAAAGGATGGGGAAAAAATAGCCAAAGCAGGGGTTAGCAATACATTTTCACACACACCCTCATTTAGCATACCTAATGTATGAGACATTGAAGGATCATTGTTATTCTAGTTGCCAAGGGCACAGGTGAGTTAACTGTAACTTCAGGGGCCACATCTAACACACAGGAGCTTCTCATCCAGCCCTCAAGCCCCTTAACAATTTGACAGCATCAGCTCACCATCCCACAGCTGAAAAATTGTTACAATTACCAGAGCTGTAAACAAGAGCTGGTTTCCAACACGGAGCCTTCAGTAGCAGACTCTGAGGCAAAAAAATTGCCCATCCCAGTATAAGGTCATCACCTCAGCCACACTAGAAGGTTTTTGGCATGGACTAGCCTGAAGAACTTCTTTAGTCTGTCCCTCTTTTAAACAGGAATGCGGAGTTTCCCTTACAAGGCTACAAGCACTTTCAGGATATTATACTTCTGCCAGCCGGGCTCTTGTCCCACCTATCTTTCCAAACACACAGGTTGTAGCAATGAGCCAGTACTTCACTGCCTGCAGGGTCGCTCTGTAGAATCGGATTGTTTGGCCCCAAAATGCTTGTCAACTAAGACCCCTCACCCCACATACACACAAAGCTCCAGTCCTCCACATTATGCTATGCTTTGGCTGAACTTCTCCTTTTATACACGCATTTGTGTACTCCCACATCAGTACACTGTGACTGTTGCCAAAATACATTCTCACATGTTACTTGAGAACATGGCCCAGATATTACCATTTGTAGGTTCCAGATAAAAACTTTCTTCATGGAGGTGTGTGTGTGCGCGTGGATTCCCTCAACTCTGCTTCCAGTACAGAACACAATCAATATTCCTCCCTACTTGTCAGTCAGAGTCGGAGAAGCCCACTATCAAACAGATGTGTATAGGGACACGAGAGATGTATGTCTGCTGTCACATGCGAACTGAACTCCACGTAACCCAGACATTCTTCCTAATTTGGGATGAATCTGAACTCGGGTCTCCATTATGCACGGTCGCTGGGAGCTTTTTGTTGGGGGGGGGGAGTTAACGCCCCACCATTTACAACTGAGCTTTACTGAGCGGGAAACAGAGGCAAGCAGGCCACCTCCCCCATCCAAACAAGAGCCCCCAGTCACTCACCGGCCGCAGCGAGGCCACCAGACGAGGGAGCGCCCGCTTCGCCATACCCATCTTCTTCCTCTCCGAGGAGAGACTCAGGTCACGTGACGGAAGGCAGCCGCTTGTTAGGTCATGTGACCTCACCCCACGTGCCGTGTGGGAGGCGGGCCTGCCGCTTTGTCTCGGGGGAAGGGATTTTACTGAGAGTGGCGCGGGCAAAGTAGGGGCTGTGCTTTGGAGGTTAAGGAAACATTAAGTAGCACCAGGACAGATGGTTTCTTTAAAATCTTGGTAAATGCCAGCTAGAGGTTTGCCAGATTACAGGAGACGCCAAACTCACTGGGGGAGGGGAGGCCCGTTTTTTAAGCCGTACACCTGCCTGATCCGGAGTCAGCCATCCCCCTGGACCGTCAAATTCAGCTCCAACTGGCAGTGGATCCCTGAGATCCTAGTTTTAACTAGGAATATAACTTGGGCTCTAATGCATGCGACGCTGGGGCGGCTCCTCCACCCAGCCTCGGCCTTTACTTTGAATAAACTTGGAATGCAAATATATATATATATATATTTCATAGAAAACACGCAAAGGAGATACTTTAGTATTTAAAAGAAGGGGTACACTATAAACCAACTCCACAAAGAGTTTCAGAATATTGTGAAGCATATTAAAATTGGCCTGAATATTCATTTAGCAAAACCATTGCTACCCAAGCCAGCTTCTGTCTGTATCCCAAGACCCACTGACTTGCCAAGCTTTCCATGGCTCACGTTTGTTTCCCACTGCCCTCTGCACCGCTAACTCTTCCAAAATTTCCAGCTCTGGTACAGTCTACCCACAATTATTCATCCTGTCCCATTTACTACTGTGGATTCAAGCTCACCGGATCCCTGCAGCAGGAAATTTCTTCTGGAATTTCTAATGCCACATTTCTCTCCTCCAAATCATTCATCCCTCACAGTGTTTGTTAGGGGAGGGAGAGGTGAAGAGCAGACCCACTCACCCACCCCGCTCCTGCATTGCAAAGCTGGGGACTGGCACTTCTAGAGATCCCCAAACCTGAGATAAATGTTTCTGGATTTATTATCAAAGTGCTGAAAGTTCTGCTGTCTCTGAAATTTCTCTGACTCTTCTGTCAAGCTGGGAGCAGGGAAGTCTTGTCTTGGCATACGCTGTGAAGCACTGCACCTATAGATAGTGCTGTAAGAGTACCTTTAAAAAAATTAAGCCTCTTCCTTGAATCAGCCAAATTGAACAGCCTTCACTTGACTTCAGCTTGGAAGAAGCTAACTTTGGCTACCTAACTAAGGGGAGCAAGCCTAAGCAGGTCTGCTGGCAGAGGTACATCCCATTTTACTTAATGGGGCTTGATCCCAGGAAAGTGTTCTTACGATTGCAGCCTAAGAGCAGCCCTGCTAAATTGGGCCTGCTAGACTAGTCCAGCATCCCATTTCCTGCAGTGGCCACGCAGATGCTTTTGTGAAGCCCAGGAAGAAGACAGGGAGGCTAGAGAGTCCCGCACGACCACGACGGATGTTCAGTGGCTTCTTGCCTCTGACCCTAGAGGTCCTGCCCAGCTATCAGGGTTAATAGCCTGTGTGCACCCTCTCCAGTCCCCCTTGCTTTTGTCTGGCCCAATATAGAGCTCCTCCAAAAGCTTACAAAACCAATTTACAGCTTGCCTCCTCTGCAAGCTTGTTGGGAAATGTCCTACTGAATTCAGTCTGATGCAAGGGGATACCTCGACCCCATTTTATACCTGAAGCAATTGCACTTCTGTAACCGTCCTGCTCCCACTCCTGAAAAATATACCTGTCCTATCAGGCTTCCTCTGCGCAGGGGCCCCATTTCGAACTCTGGCTTGTCTTGCTCTCCGACAGGTTTGCTTGGTGCACACGGTGGACTAGCGTATAGCCCAAGGCCTGTTTTATACTAAATCAACAGAAGGCTCGGCATTACAACCTGTGTTTGCTTTGGCTGCAAAACGACTAATTCTAGCAGTGTGTGATATCCTTTGTTGCCAAAGGGGTCTGCCTATGGGGTGAATCCAAGAGGTGTGTCACTAATCTCCTCCCCCTCCTCCTTAAGAGTTCACAATCAAGGTCTTTCTAGTGCCAAGGTGGCAGATGTGGCTAGCATGTGAACGGATGGCCGCCTGTCTCACTGCTATTCGTCCAGTGTGTTGCAAGGAAAAGATCAAGGCCAAATGCTGCCAGTGGCATAAAAGGTCTGAGATGATCCAAGGATCAGCCTGCATTTCTAGGACCGACAACAAGATGACATCAATTTGTCTTTTGTCTAGCTGGCATCATCTGCTTTGCTGAACATGATTGCTTGGTGCCAGGCATTAATGATTGAGCCATTGTGTTCATTGGCAATCACTGGTACTTGGAATGAGTATGAGTACTGCGTCGGTCTACCCTGGAACAGGTCGAAAAATAATTGGGGAATTGATGGAAACGTCACAGGCCAAAGGACTTGCAAAGGTTTTTTGCAGGTTTTTCTCTTTTGACTGGAGTCAACAATAGGAGCATAGCAATGGCTGCAGGCAGGCAGGGCCAGCTCACTCACTAGGCAAACTAGGCGTAGACACACACACTCTTAAAACAAGGAATCATTACAGGAGGGTATGAGCAGGGCCGGCTCACTCACTAGGTGAACTAGGTGTTCGCCTAGAGCGGGCTGGCCTTTAGGGGCACCAAACTGCACCCAGCCCCCCCCCAAGCGCGGCCCATTCCTGTGACCTCCCAGCCCATGGGAGGCTCCACCGGCAGGGGCGGGGAAAGGCGCTGGGCAGCTGGGTGAGGCAGCAGCCGGGCAAAGTGGGTCAGTCGGTGCAGAAATCCTCTGGCCGCCACCGCCACCAGCACCCAAGGGAGGGCGGTAGCCCTAACCAGTAGGAGCAGGATGAGCCGGCCTCGGCGGGTGGGCGAGGGGAATGAAAGAGTTCTCCAACAGCAGCCGAGACCACGAACGCTGCCCCCTCCTATCTCTCTCACTCTCTCGGAGTCTGGGAGGCAACTTTTGGGCCCTGTGTGACGCCCTGCTGGAGGATTCCCGCCCGGGAGGGGAGAGGGGGTCGGATTCCCCCCCGGCCCTTTCCACCCACTGAAAAGCCCCTCGTAGGCCGGGAGTCGTCTTGCTAGAGAGTGTGTGTCGGGGAACAGCTGGTCTCGCCTGCGCTGCACAAAATGCTTTTAACAAACTTGCCTGGATAAATGGTTACACTCCTGTGCAATGTTCCCTCTAAGCTGTGGAGTCCTGTGAGCAAAAATACTACTTTCTGAACTACTGGCATTGCAAGGGGGGAAGGGGGGGCGGTGCACGGGGGTGTGTGCCAGAAGGGATCCTCGCCTAGGGTGCAAAATAAGCTGGGGCTGGCCCTGCAGGCAGGCAAAAGGTTTGTATGTGTTCGGGTATGATGGAGCATAGATAGCCAGATTATTTCAACTCCTGAAGTAGAAAATTCCACCAATACCATCCCTGGGTGGCAAAAATGTACTAAAATGGGAGCCAAAGTACATTCAACACTGGAGTTCTGTGAAGAGAATGGTGTGTGATTTGGCCTGAAAAGGAGACTCCCAGGAACCTGGTCTGGATTGCAAAGGCGGCTTCGGGGAAGGGGGTCAATTTCCCCCCTCCCCACACTTTTTCCTCAATTGTAAATGCCTCCCCCCATTGGTAGGGGCTTCAAGCGGCTGTGGAAGGAGGAGAAGTAGAAATTTCTATCAGAGCAAAAGTTTGTATGTGGGGGGGAAGAGAGTTAAAAGCCATTCTTTGTCAAAGTTGTGGTCCCAACTGAGATTGGTTCCCCCCTGCGGTTGTTTTGAGCAGAGGTTGCAGAAGCCTTCAGGTCCAGGTCTCTGCTCAGTGTAGGAAATCAGAAAGTAGGACATCCCTTTACAGGTGGTTATCTAGTCTCTGCTTCAAAGACCTCCAGTTAGGGAGACTCCACTTTTATTTATTAATAATATCCTGATTTTTATTTATATCCCATTTTTCTCCCTGATCAGAGACCCTAAACAGTTCATTCCCCCCTTCTTCCACTCAGTTCTCACAACTGGGGTTGCCAGATCCCCCTTGGCCACCAGTGGGGAATGGGGGGGGGGGGGCGCTAGGGTTGCCAGATCCAGGTTGGGAAACTCCTGGAGATTTGGAGGCGGAGCCTGGGGAGGACAGGGACCTCAGTGGGGTACAATACCATAGAGTCTACCCTCCAAAGTATCCATTTTCTCCAGGGGAACTGATCTCTGTAGCCTGAAAAGGAGTTGTAATTCCAGGGGATCCATAGGTCCCACTTGGAGACTGGCTTCCTTACTCACAACACATACCTTTTGAGGGTAGGTTACACTGTGATGGGCCCAAGGCTACCTGGCAGACTTCCATGGCTGGGTGAGGGATTCAAACCTGGTTATTCCAGATCTTAGTTCAATACTCTAACCACTACGCTACACCAGCCCTCCATCCCCTAGGTAACGGGAGGGGCTGTGCCTCAGTGGAAGAGCCTCTGCTTTGTACGCAGAAGGTCCCAGGTTCAATCCCCAGCATCTCCAGTTAAAACCTCATTTTAGGCCAACACAAATTATAACAATGAATTTCTGCACACCTCACTTAACCTATGGGACAAAGTCCAATTAAAATTTGCTCCTGACGTATCACAAATGTCCACCTTTCTGTATCCAGAGTATTCATATACAGAATATTCTGTATTCATATGGAATTTTTTTTAATTGGCAACAAATAGGGATCACCAGCATAATTGATTTGACTACTAAAGGCAAAATTCTAGACAAAGCTCAACTTGAGAGCCGCCTACAAGTTTCTCTTCCCTAGTTTTGATATTTTCAGTTAAAATATTTGTTAAATCACCTGAAAATAATAGGAACCTTTTCACACACCCTTATGGATTTTGAAATTTTACTTAAAAAATTTCATGATTATACTGGTTTGGTATCAAAATTATATAAAATGTTAATTACTGCAGATTTTGATAAGCCTCTTAGATATCAAACTTGATGGTACACTGATTGTGGCATACCTTATCAGTCTCTCACTGGGATTTGATCTGAAATTTTCCTAACAATTTGTCTAAGGTTTTAAAGATACAGTTTCAATTTCCTGTATTTACCCATCTGCCTCTCCATTGTGTTAGAAAGGGTGCAGTCAAGTTGTATCCTACTGACACTGTTGGTGGGATTGTAGGCATACAAATAATTTTTGGATAGAAATTGCAAATCGGATTATCACAGACTTTGAATTATCTTTTCTTTAGAGTCACTATTATTAAATTATTGGCTCAGTCTACCAGTTAGGAATTCTGTTCGGGAACTAATTTCTCTATTACTAGCTGCTGTTCTCTCAGCAACTGCTTCGAAACGGAAAGATCGAACTCCCTCGTCAGTATTTGTCTGGCATGAAAAAACTTGAGAACAGTACATTATGGCAAAAACCAGAGACAGTATATCCTATTCTGGCACTTCTAATTACCAGTCCAAATTTGTAGTCACTTGGTTCGGTTTTACAGTATTTATTGGAGCAAGAGGTAGTAATCCCTGCAAATCCTCTTTATCAAAAATTTGCTTATTTTTCATTTGATTGGATAACATAGGCAATTATGTTAAAATTATTGTGCTGATGGGACACTGTTGTACTGTGCTTTTGGATATGCTCTTGGAAAGTTCATTTTTATCATTGGGTTAGTGGTATCTGTGTTATTTATAGCATTGGTTGTAATCTCTGTATGTTACTACTGTTTATTCAATAAAAAAGTATTATTTTTAAAAAATCTTTCCTCAAAGAACTTGTTTCCTAGACTTTGTTGCCTTCCTGTGAACCTGTTCTAAATTAGGTCCCAATTAGACATCCAACCAAATGTTGTTGGCCTGAAAGAAACCTTTTTGCTGTCCCAAAATCCTGAGCCAATCCATCTGTTTCCTCAATCTTAGCCCCATTATCTGTGTAATGAGGGTCACACCCAGAGGTCATTTCGGGAGGGATCGCAGTTCCCCTGGGTGAGGTGCAGGGGGGCGGGGCACATGACGAAGTCCCGCCCCCCGCTTCCAGCCCTCATTCAGCCAGGAGGAAGCAGGAGGGAGGGTAAGTTGCTTCCTCCCCGCCTCTCCCCACCCTGACTGCCTGGGGCCAGGGAGGGCCTTGGCGGGGCTTCCTCGCATTCCCGCTGGCCTTGCAGGTCCACCGCCGGGCCCCTGATGTCAGGGGGTGTGGCATATGCTAATGAGTTATGCTAATGAGTTCCCCTAGCTCTTTTTCTACGAAATGACCCCTGGTCACACCTACCTACATTTCTGGACTGTTTGTTCTAAGTATTATCAAGGCATGTCTCCTATGGATTTGTTCTGCTACTGAAGCGTTATTTAAAAGTGGGGTTTTTTTGCTTTCCCTAATCAAGCAATGTTCAGGTCTAAAGAAACAGTTAAGTACTTATTTTCCAGGGGATTCCCTCTCCCCCTTGCCACATTTCCTTGAGTTCTAGTCTGTTATTTTACACTACAGGTATTTCTGTAGCACTTGTTTATATACAGCACATATTCCATCTTTTTCTCTGTCAAGGAGCAAGATGTGGGGTTATCCCAGAATTCTTATCTGCGTTTTCCCACAGTTCCTTGTTGCACAGACTACAAGCAGGGTAAAAGTCATTCATCCCTAGATAGTATCCACTAGCAATGCAAACTATGACAGCAACTTTGGTGCTGGGTGTAAAATGGGTATGAAGGCACACACAGGATGAATGTAGCCTGTTCAGGACCATGCCAGGCCAGCCATTCTTGGAATTTTGTGAATAGAATTCCAAGGATGTTTTAGAATTCACATACCAGGTATACAGGCCCTCCATTTGGACTGGTCCACAGCATGAAGATATAAACTCTGTTGGGGAACAGAGCTGCCCCGGTGGGGCAAGTAGCTGCACTGCAGGGTGGTGTCATTTCAGAAAGCAGACATTAGGTGGGAGAGACTTAAACCATCCCCTCCATCCCACCTAGTCCTGCTTTGAAATGAGGCTGCAGCATGCTTGACAATTGAGTTTTTCTCCCATGTCTCGTCAGTTTTGGCTCTCACACAGAGAATCCTTGCTTCATTATTCTTCATCTTTCCCCAGTTCCCATTCATAACTAGTATTTCCCCACCTGTTGACAAACCATGTATTCAGATCAACACTGTATTTAATTCAGTTCCATCATTTTTATTTTAAAAAATTACATTTGAAATCACATGAAAAACAGAAAAAGCCCCATGATTAAAACACCATGAATGGCCCAATCAAAGGGCCATTCTCAAATAGAACAGTTCAAACTTAGCTATAAAATGTGTGTGTGTATATATATGTGTGTGTGTGTGCGTGAATTCCCCCTCCCTCCACACCTCAGTATAATTTACATTCTCATGTGCAGAGTCAAGTGTTCCTTTGCAACAAGGCAGCCCTTAGAAACCAAGCTCCGATCCGGTCTTAGCTCTGCCTCTCTCAGCCTTCCTTCTGACCCTGCACGAAACTATTCTAGTAATTCAAGGAAATCCAGCTGTTGTAGCTGCTGAGCAACTGAAGCACAGCCCTCAGCCATCTCTAGACTGAACCAGGTTAGTAGCATGGCTTCTGTCCCCTTGTCCCCGGCTAGGAAGGCAAGATATTGCACTAGTACATTAAGCCAAGGACTGCTCCTTGCCCTCTGCAACATCAGTGTTTGGGGCAAATACCTCTGACAGCCACAGCCATTACTGTATTTGCACCAGACAAAATAGAGCCACACACTAGGCAAGAATCAATGGGCTGGCCCAGTTTAAGAATGAAATTGGGACCTCTCAGCTACAAGTGTATTTAAATTCAGATGACATTTGTTCTTAAACCAAGCAGCCACATATGCCTATTTACTTGGGTTGGCTTCTGCTCTGAGAGCACAAAAGTATTTCTCTAAGGTATGAGGTCAAGAATACCAGAACCTTCCTTCGCTTGCACATGTTTTTATGAAGCTATGTCACAAAGATAGGGATTAGGTAGGTGACAGTGGATTAGAGATGAGCTCAAAGGCTAGATTTGGACGTTTTGGCACAGTCATGGTTCTGAATGTATTCAGAATGGAGGCTGAAGTCCCTCTCTTAAAGAGCCAGAACCATAATGCAGTAACACAAGTTACCCAGAACGTCTGAGGAGAGCTTCCCTTCCTTCCTAGTTAAGGTGCACAAAAGCATGAACAAGATAAATAGCAGGGCCTGAAGAAAATTATTCAATGTTATGTAACTTCCCACTTAGTTGTTGTAAACCTACTCCTAGATCCTCATTCCAAGAATCTCTGTTTGGTTGCTAATTCACCTTGTCCAAAAAGTCAACTTTAACATACCTCCAGAATCTTGGAGCCAAGGTGTTCACATCATACACTTGCTGCTTTCGATGAATAAAGTTTATTTCCCCTGAGGTAATGAAAATATGATGGAGTAATGGCTCACTACCAGTGACTCTGTGTGCCTTGCAGCTTTAATGCAAGCATATTATCTTCCAAATTGGAAAGAAGAAATTTGTCATTTTAGCTAGATTGTTGCTCAAATGTCTAAGCTGATTTGGTCTGCAGCTAGCTGCTGGAAAAAAATACTGCAATGGAGTCATGCTTCTCCACAATTCTGCACAGCTGTTGTTTAAAATTCTACTTCATCCTTCACAATAACTTGAGTGTTATGTCCCTGAGAAGGCACTGTGGATGGTCCCCATTCTACACAAGTCCAGCTTAGCACATTTACACCAGAGCATTTCAGTCCCTGGAGTTATGCAATGTAAATCCTTCTATTCTTTAGTATGTTGCTATTAAAAAGCAGTATTCGAGTATTGCTAATCTGACAAGAGTTTCATTTTATTTAACTGCAGATCCTATAATTTGACCACCCACTCTAAATCTCTTCATGCCACTAATCATAGCAGCTTTAATGTTTCAGAGAGAAAAGAAAGAAGGGTTCCTTTATTTCACTCCAACTAGCTTAAGAGTCCAGGCGTACTGCAACGGGAGAAGGGAAGGGACTGTAGAGGGCAGTGTGACCTCCAATCCTCTTCCTGGGACTGCGTGCCACTCCAAAGACCGAGAGACTCCCAACATGGTCACCTACAAGGAAGAAAACAGAAATTGCTGGTCTGTTGATTTAAGTAAAAAAATCTATCCAGCTAGTTCCTACAGCATGCAATAATCACAGAGAGTGCAGAGGACTCTCAAACTGGCTGACAACCCAATGAAGACTGTGTTAAAACAACTGGGTGAAACAACACGCATTCTCACTGTACATGCCCAGGTACTGATTGTGAGCTGCTGGGAGCATACCCGTTGTGGCAGTTGCATGTTCACCATGGCACATGGACACACTGGTTCATGCAATCAGCACGTCCAAATGCGTTCAGGGTCTCAAAATCGATCAACCCTCCTGGGCCCCAAAGACGTCAGATTGGCAACAACCAGGGCCAGGGCCTTCTTGGTGGCAGCTCCGTACTGGTGGAATGAGCTCCCAGAAGAGATCAGGGCCCTGCAGGACCTTTTACAGTTCGGCAGGGCCTGCAAGACGGAGCTCTTCCATCAGGCTTTTTGTTTAAGGAGCCACCACCACCACCACCATCATCATCACGAAAGATCACTAACAACAACTGAGAAAGATAGAGCCCTGTGCCCTGATTCCACCATTACACCCTGTGCCTGCCACATATATATAATAAAGATCAAGAAGCTGATGAGCAAGGCAGATCATGGATTATATTAACATAACTGTTGCTGCCATCCCAAAGTCTTAGTTCACAACTAGCTAGCACTTTATGATATTGGATTGTTTTTACATGGTTTTATCTATGTTATAATTGTTCTTATGTTTTATCCCTTTGTAAGCCGCCCTGAGCCTGCTTTAGCGGGGAGGGCGGGGTATAGCTTGAATAAATAAATAAATAGTCCCAGCTGGATCATGAACTGGCTGGTGACACCATGTGCTCACAGAGCCACTGCATGGAAGCTGGTGATTGCATCAAGCATCTGAATACCATCTGACACTAGGGCATCAGCATTTCACACAATTCCTGGCTCCCCTTTGGTGGATTCTTGGGGGAGGGGAGAAGTATGTGAACAGCAGCCTCCTATGAAGATAAGATGCCTTTGGGATCAAGGGTTTAGGGTTCTTCCGAGAGATTACAAATTGTCCGGTCAAAGTCACAATGGCATCAATACAAAAACTAGTGTGACAAAAATGCCTTTATTAATCTTCACATTTTCTAAAAAGGGGTTATGAAGGCATCACACACACACACAAAAAAAGGAAAACCTAGTTTCCCTAATTGTACGCTATGGACAGCTAGCAAGCCCCTACTTCTTTGCCCAGGGACTATGGCTAGTTTGACTTCTCCATCAGGTACTGAAAGACAAGAAACTGCATCTGTATCCAACCCAAGGAGGGAACATAACCCGAATGTCTATACAGAGCCCTGTTCTGGGACCAGTAAAGTAAAAATGCAAAAGGGAGACTACTTTTGCTTGGTAAAATAGAACTAAATTGAAAATAATAAAAGTGTTTGAAGATGTGAATTTTAATGCCATTTTTCGACTCTGTGTCAATAGATACTTAGTCTGGCTATAACAGGAACATCTGGGGAAATATCCAGGACCCATGGCAAGTAAATGAAGATGTATCTTTGACAGATGCAATGAAGCACTAAGCCTTTTCCTTGACTATGTAGATTTAGGTGGGTTTCAAAGTGGCAATTTGAAGGGGGAAATGGGAAGACACAAAGATGAGGGAGAAACAGGAAGATTTCACAAGTTCCTGTTGGAAGCTGAACAGGCAACAGTCACTGCAGTCTCCATTTCAGTGTGAGCCCTAATCTCAAAGAGAAAAAAAGACTCCGGGGAAACACACAGGAGAATAACAGGAAAAACCCTACAAATGCATTCCTATTACTCTTCTGTGGCAGAGCTCATGCTGACAGAGCAGCAGCTACAAGATTACAGAATCTGCAGCTTTGAAGAGAACACACAACAAGAGCAACACACCTGGGGATGGGAAAGTGCTTGGCCCCCTGGTGGGTGGGCAACCTGGGGGGCGCAATTTGCTCTGAAGGCTGCCACTGTGGGGAAGAACTACAGTTTACACTGCCTACATGAAGTCTGATTCCATCTCTGGCGCCAAACGATCTCAGTGAGGCCCGTTAGTTAGAATATGCCAAGTCTGTATGCTCCAATCACTGGGCCTAGAAATGCAGTCACTGTTTGGGGGCTGAGAAGTGAATATACCACCTGCAACATCCTCTTAAAAGGCATAATGGGTCACTTACTCTCTTTTCCAGAATGCAGGCGATGTAGAACTATACCATAAAAAGTATATGAAATGAACATAGATATAATTGCTTATTTTCCTTACAATCCTTAGACATTAAACTGAGCACAACTCTGAACTGTACCAACTAACATTTGTAACATCTATGGAGGGGGTTGGGGTCCAAATTTGGCCTTCATATACACTTCACATTTTCCTACAATGGGGACGCCAAGTGGCTGACATTGTTCTACTTCTTTTTATCCTCACAACAACCCTGTGAGGTAGGTTAGGCTGAGAATGTGAGCTGGACCAACAATCTAACTAGGCATAAAGGAGCTTCCTATGTTGACTTCTTAAATTATGGCTCACACTTCAGCAGATGCTGCCTGCAGATTTTTCAAGTTCTGTTTCCAGCTGTAAATGCCTTAAAACACACACAACATAGATCAAGAAGCTGATGAGCAAGGCAGATCATGGATTATATTAACATAACTGTTGCTGCCATCCCAAAGTCTTAGTTCACAACTAGCTAGCACTTTATGCTGTAAATGCCTTAAAACACACACAACAGCAGAGAATACCAGGATTTTCCAGATGCCCAGTCAGATTTCTGCTAGAGAATCTCTCTGTTTCAAACCTCCTTACTTTCATGCTTGCTGTGAAGTCTGGCGATGGAAGAATCAACACATTGTCTTCTGGCCAAGTAAAAAAGATAGCATAAACTGCTGCTCCTTTTGAAGTGTACCTGGGAGAATACAAGGCAAGGCTGTGAGGTGCAGTGTGAAAATACTGAAGCTGACACACAACAGTCATCTTTCATGAGAACCCCACATCCAGCCTCCATAGCCTGTCCCTGGCTGTGGCTGAAGGCCAGCCTTGGGCCTTTCTGCCACACTTCCTCATACCTGGGGTCCAGCCAGCCAGGGGTGAAGAAAGCCTCAAAGTCCACCCTTACACACACTCTGCAAGAGCAAACATTGCATTACAACCCGTCCTTGTTTTTTCATCTGCTGCCGTCAACAACATAAAGGTGGCTCACATGCCTCTTACAAAAGCCCATGCAAAACTTTCCATTTATTGCCTTCACAGGGCTACTCTCATTTTCTAAGCTCTTGATGTCTCTCTGAGTAGTTGTTCTCATCCCTTCTCTAACTCAGGGTTCAATGTATCTCCACTCTACGGCTGGTCTATCGGTTAGCTCTGACTCTAAGCACACCACAACTTTTTTAAAAAAAGGGAAAAAAGAAAGAAAAATAAAAAATAAAAGTAAACCAAACAACAACTTTGATAATTTTATTTAAAAGTTTAAAGGCAAACAGGTAAGCTATTTCTGGTTTCAGAAGTTGTCTCGGTGCTCATGTCTCCTCAACAATGTCCAAATGCAGCAGAATGCACTGGGGAATTTTAACAGTACACCTCCAGGAGGCTTTGTGCTTTGAACAAGAGTAGTGTTGAATGAAATGCACTGCCACCGTTTCAACTGCCTGTACTTGGCAGTGCTGTGCCTTCACCACAACAAAGTCCCACACACTTCAGTTTCCTTACATGTGTTCAATTTTGTGCAACCTTTTGAAGAAAAGGTTTCTCATGCAAACGACCCTAGTAATATCAAACTTGGCTAATCCAGGGTTACTGATGTACTTCAGGGGGGTATTCTTTCATTCCTGCTTCTGCAAAGGAGATGACAGAACAAAAATAATTTTGCACAAGTGTGTTCATCTCTAGATTGACAGGGGACCACTTGCTTCCCTATAGACCTGCCTGACAATTAAGATCTTCTGCAGACTCCTCTGAGAGAGGCACCTTGACTTGTGGAGCTCCCTCCCCACAGTTGCCCACTGGGTGTTTATTCACTAGTTCTAGATGCCAAGACCAGACATTTTATTCACTCATGAAGGAGTGTGTGTGTGTACACCAGTTTTAACAATTTGATTTGACTGCTTTTTTAAAAAAAAAAATTTTTTTGATCACTAAAACCATCTCAAAAAGCTCTGGTTAAGAAGCACAGCATAATTTTAAAAAATTAAAATACAAATCGGTTTTCCTGTAGTCAGGACTGTATGTAATTTCTTTCAAATAACAATGCTAGCATTGTAGCACCAACCAACACTCATTTTAAATGTGCATGAAAACTGTCTGAGAACCCACAAAGTGATTCCTCCTGTTCCTAATGCCACCTTTTCTTACATGAACAATGGAGCCTGCCCACATTCTAAGAACAAGCAGACCGTTCGGATTAGGTTTTATCATACCATGTCCTGGCAGTACCATTCTCCCTCTGGACTCTCCAGGGCTTTGATTCATAAATAGCCTCTCCGTTAATTTTCAGCCACCTCCCAAGTGCCAACAGCCTCTCTTGGAAGACTGGAGCAATCACCCCTTCTTTGGTGGGACCAACGTTGAGAAGGTAATTTCCTCCATAACTCACAGTGCTCACAAGTTCCTGTGGACAAGGGTATGAGCAGAGCAAGATATTATAGGACAAGAAGAGAATTTTAATACTGGAAGATTCTGTATGGGCTATCTGGTCCAATCCCCTACACTGTGGAAAGATAGCCTATAACAGCCAAGACTGACACCTGCTCATACTTTCAGTGAAGGGAATCTTCTAAGAGATTCTGATTGGTGGTTGTTCCACTCCTTCCTTACAGAAATCATTTACTCCCCCCTCCCCCCGCTGCACCACATACATATAGCTCTTTTGTGTCATTTATTTTAAACCAATTATAAGCCTGCTTTTCTTCCAGCCAAATGGAAGTAAATGGATTAAAATCATATTCATCACAGAACGTTTAAAACATCAAACTATTAAAATGGCCTTCAGAAACTATACATAACATCCAAAACAGCCCATGTCCCCTTAAGAACCAGCAAACTACAGAAACTTCAAGAGACTCTAAAGAGCCTTTTAAAAAGTTCCATCCCACACCCCTTATGAAGAGTTAGAGAGACAGGGGCCTTCCAAACTTCTTCTAGTATTTAAACCCACTGCTTTTTTGGTTGCTTTCTTTGCTCTTTGAACATTTACAGTCCAGTGGCACCTTTAAGACCAACAAAGGTTTACTCACGGTATGAGCTTCCGTGAGCAAGGCACACTTTGACAAATAGCAAGATGGTGATGAGAGCAGCACATGGTGCTAGAGGCTCCGTTTAAGAACACTAAAATTGGCAGTTTCTCTGCTAGCTACTACCACCAAATTTGGGAAAGCTTTTTACTACACTGCACTGCACTGCGATGCGAAAGCAAAGTACCTGGATTCATGAACTATTCTCTCCCCTACGGAACAGTCTACGGAACAGTGTTTGAGACCGGCCTAGTCCCGGATAGACGATCAGGCGACACCTCGGACTTACTTGATAACTGGGCTGGCGTCGGCTGGGCGTGTGGCGGTTGCCAAGGTCTGTTTGGCTGGCTCCTGTGGCACGGTCGCCATATTGGATGCGCCCGTGATTACAGCTGTCATTTGTTGAGATGGCCGCGCCTGCCTTATGCTTGCCATCTCCCACTGCCTACAACTAGTGCTGAAGTGACTTTGTCCATCTGCGAGGCGGTGAAGCCGGAGTGCCAGCTGGGGAGGCCGGGGAGACTTCCATCCTCTCTGGGCTGCCCGGCTGCACCCGGCTCCGCTGAACTGCATCAGCAGTGGTCTTCAGCGTATCAACAATGGGTCTTGTTGGAGCCCGAAGGCAGGTATTCGGACGAGAACGGAGGAGCCCGAGATCGAGGAGGATCATCTGGGATCCAGGGAGGTGGCTGCCTCTCTAGACCATCGAGAGGAGCTTCTCACACTACAACTGACTACTGGACTGGAGGAGACATCAACGGCGATCAGAACACTCCAGTAACACCATCCCACTGAAAGTATTGCTAGTCCTAATAATTCATAGAGTGCGGTTAGATGTTTAAATTAGAGTTAGATGTTAATTAATAAACTTAGATTCTAATTAAGAATTAACAGGGAGAAAGTAATTAACTGAAGAGAGCTTTAATGTATCAATGTACTATCTTTCTTTGCTCTTGAATTGAATTGGATCTAAGTTAGTCCCTTGAATGATTAAATTAATCAACTAATCTGAGATTGACTATCCTATCATTGAACTGATTAACTGGAATATTAAGCATGGAATTAGTCTATTCTATTGTGGAATTAGTGTTTGATTAATCACCTGACAAATTGGGGATCAGAAGCATAAATTTATATTATTATTGGCCTTTACTTATTTATTACTGGCCAGGAACCAGATTGTCTACACCAAAGTGTTATTAGCAGTTTATTAGTTGCTAGGTTAGGTTAGACAGGGTTATATTGGACAGTGAGCAATTAGGTTAGATTCGATTATTAGGAATTATTGGGACAAACAATTTTGTCACCAGTATGTGGACGATACCCAGTTGGACAGCCAGTCCGACTCCAAACCGGAAAATCTAGACCAGGTGTTGCAAACTGTGGCTGGCTGGCTTAGGCTGAGCTGGCTGAAATTGAATCCGACGAAGACGGTGGTCCTGTGCCTGAGCCACAACGGTCCGAGGGTGGGGATCCCGCTTCCGACCTTCGATGGGGCGCCACTGGTGCCAGCGCCAGAGGTTAGGAGTCTGGGAGTGCTCCTGGATCCCTCTTTAACAAGGGAGGCCCAGGTAGCAGCCACTGCCAAGTCGACCTTTTACCATCTTTCACTGATTAGACAGTTGGTTCCCTTCCTCAAACGCGGTGACATGGCAACAGTGATCCTTAACTCAACTTAGCCCACTCTACCATGGACACTTTCTGGATCACACATTCTTAGCCTAGCCTATCTCACGGGGCTGCTGTTCTGAGGATAAAACAGAGGTGGGAGGAATAGTGTTCTGGACTACTTTGGGTCCCCACTGGGCAGAAAGTTGGGGTATAAATGAAGTAAAAATTAAAAGAAAACCAGACTGGATTCTGAAAGAATCTGACCTACTCCAGTTACACATGAAACTTGATTCAGACCCTTGCTCTGGCTGCTAACCCCATCTAGAAATTCTGGCAAGATTCTGTAACTTCTTCACTGAACTGCTACGTTTTTGCCAACCCCCAACAGACATATCAAAGATCTCACCTGAATTATGCTGGAGGTATCCATGAGTTCATCAGTTTTCATGTTGCTTCGATATCCCCATGATCTTCTGTCAATAGAGCTGCACATCTCCCACTTATGGGTTGGCAGAGTGCCAGGCTTGTATTTATCTTGACAGTTGTAGAACCCTCCATGATGGCAGGAGCAGTTGATGCCCCACCGATCGTTTACCACCACAGTATCCTAGAAGAGAGCAGCAAGGTGGAACTGAAGCCACTGTGCCTTCAGACTTTAAGGGTGCAAGACTCTGGAGCTGTATACACCACCTGTTCTGAAATGTTCCAAATAAAAACACAACAATGCTTTGGGGGATAAATTTAAAGTGTTTGCTGTGTTACTCTTACTCTATAATGTCAAAGGAGTGAGCAACAAGTGGCTCTGAAGAACACCCCAGGGAAGCAAGGATGCAAATCAGTCCATATTTATTTCAACTCTTCAGATTTCAAGAACCCCTGCCCTCCAAATGGAGTAAGTACTTCTCTCCTTATTATAAAGCGCTGTTTGTGTCCACTCGCCCCCACAGCCTTTGCCCCCCCAACTGCCAGTCAGAACGGGGTCCCTGGTCACTGGCTGCATGGCCGTCCTGTCCCTTCTCCCGCCCACAGACGACCTGCCCAATGTCTCACCTGAAGTGGGATAAGAGCCGTTGGATGGGCAGGATGCTCTGCCGGCTGCAGTGTTTGCAGGCCGAGCCCCATGGGAGCCAGTGCTGGCTTCCTCCCACTGCTGCCCCCACAAGGAGTCCCTTGCTTGCCGCCGCTCCACCACGATGTGCAGCGCTTGCTCGAATGACCAGTGGGGAGAGGGATGAGGCTGGGAGCCTTGGCCCACTGGGCCCTCGAGCTGGCCTAGTGGGGGGGAGGAACGAGCCTGCCCGGCTTGGCCCACCACCGTCACCGCCTCAAGTGCGCGGCACGACAGAGGAATGAGGCCGGTTGACTTGGCCTGCCGGCACCCCGAGCAGGCCGTGGGGAGAGGGACAAGGCCAGCTGCCTTGGCCCACCGGGCCCTCGAGCGGGCGGTGGGAAGAATGAGCCCGCCCGCCACCGCCTCGAGTACGCGGCAGGGGGGAGGCAAGCCTGGCCACGTTGGCCCACCGGGCCCTCAAACGGGCGGGGGGAGGAATGAGCCCACCCGGCTTAGTCCGCCACCGCCTCCTCGAGTGGGCCGTGGGGAGAGGGATGAGCCTGGCCACGTTGGCCCGCCGGGCCCTCAAGTGGGCGGGGGGATGAACTAGCCTGCCCACCTTGGCCCACCGCCTCAAGCACACGGAATGGGGAGGCGCAAAGCCAGCCAGCTTGCCTGCCAGCTCCTTGTGCGGCCCGTGGGGAGAGGGGCGAGCCCAGCCGCCTTGGCCCACCGGGCCCTCAAGCGGGCGGGGGAAGGAACAAGCCCAGCCGGATAGACCAGTCTTCCCCTCAAGCGTGCACCAGGGGGAAGGCTAAGGCCAGCCAGCCACCTTGGCCCGCCGGGACCTCAAGCGGGCAGAGCGAGAGAATGGGTCCCGCCGGCTTTGCCCACCGCCGCTTCACTCAACTCAACATTAACATATAAAACCAATAATAAAACAGTAAAACAGTATTCTGATCAACATTAAAGAGAACACAATGTCAGGTTAATGCATTGCAGGTCCTCCGGGGTCAAAGCTCTTCTCTAATGTCTCACCATCAGTAGTAGCAAGTCTTTTGCTGGGAGTAAGTTCTAAATTGGATCTTAACCACAGCTTTGAATTCAGAGGTTTTGGACCTTTTGCTTTTGTTTTGGCTTCAGATGGACGCTTGGCTACTATATCCTGTAACATATACAGTGCTCTTTGTCTCAAATA